TAGCAGGGGTAGGGGTCTGGGGACCATGCTTTCAGGGGACATCTAGGTCAATTGGCATAACAAAGCTTATTAAGAAAATGTTCTGCATCCTACTTCGGTGAGTGGCATCTGGGGTCTTAAAAGCTAGTGAGCAGCCATCTAAGATACATCAATTGGTCTCAACCACCTGGAGTAAAGGAGAATGAAGAACATCAAAGACACAAGGAAAGTATTAGCCCAAGAGACAGAAAGGGTCACATAAACCAGAGACTTCATCAGCTTGAGACCAGAAAAACTAGATGGTGCCCGGCTACTACCAATGACCACCCTGACAGGGAACACAACAGAGTCCCTGATGGAGCAGGAGAAAGGTGAGGTGCAGAACTCAAATTCTAGTAAGAAGACCAGACTTAATGGTCTGACTGAGACTGAAGGAACCCCAGAAAGCATGGCCCCTGGATTCTCTATCAGCCCAGAACAAACAATTTCCGAGGCCAACTCTTCAGACAGGGATTGGACTGGACTGTGGGACATAAAGTGATAATTGTGAGGAGTGTGTCTCTTAGCTCAATTAGACACAAGAGACTAAACGGGCAGCTTCTGTCTGGAGGTGAGATGGGAAGGCAGAGGAGGTTAGGAGCTGGTTGAATGGACATGGGGAATCAGGAGTGGAAAGGACGAGTGTGCTGTCACAGTACGGGGAGAGCAATTAGGGTCACATAACAATGTATGTATAAATTTTTGTATGGGAGACTAACTTGAAATGTAAACTTCATTAAACTACAACAACAACAATAAAAAAGCAAAACAAAACAAAAGGACAGGTGGCCAATAGTAGCCTTAGGGTGGGCCTCTCACCCTGATGGGGCTCCAGCTCTGCCCTGACTCCAGCACCATCAGGCATGTGTCATCCTCCAACAGCTGGAAGAAGTCCTCGCTCTCCACAGTAGTCCCATCCTCCTCTAGCACCAGTGTTAGCATTCCACTCAGCAGCAGGGTCTCTAATGCCTGTGCAGTGCAGGAAGTAGGAGGGAAGGGTTGGAGCTTATCCCAGGCCCCTAGCCTCTCCAGCTACCCAATATCCAACTGTTGGCCTAGACTCTGGTTGATGTCCCAACTCTATGTCCTGGCCCTTTGTCATTCCTTCCAATGGCTCCAGCTCTCAGTCTTCTTTAGTTGTTGGGGGACCCTCGCTAGGGGGTTGACCTTTTTTCCTATTTGCTCCTGCTTTGCAACTACCATGTCATTGTCATCTCTTCCTACTCCTCTCCTAGCCACTCCTACTGGTTTGGAATTGAAAAGCTAGCTAGGTTCTCTTGAAGTCCATTCTTCTGTCTTATCTATCTCATTCTCTCCTACCCTCACTGAGTTCTCCAGAACTGTTTTCAGTAATCGTGGTATTTAACCTTTTTTGAATCCTCACTATGGCCTAGTATCTTTGTTGTACTTTACATACATTATCTTTGATTTGTTTCAACTAGCCTAGGAGGTCGGTGTATTATTATTCCCCAGGTTTTGATAGGTTAAATAACTTCCCAAGGTTTGACATCTAGGAATTGGTAGAATCAGGATTTGATCTTAATTTGTTATGTAAATCACCATTCCATACTGACCTGAGTTCCATCCCTCTAAACTTCCCTACCCATGGCTTCCCCATCCCAAACAAATTGACCCAAATGCAGCAGAGGCCATTCAGCTCATACTCCTCCTTTTAGCTCCCAGAGAGAGGGCAGCCACGTAACCTCACCCTTTCTGCTCCATCCTCTCAAGTTCTCATTATTCTCTAGCCCATTGGCGGCCCCTGCAATAGGAACCCAGGGACTTGGCCCACTCACCTTGTCTAGCAGTTCCTGGCGGGTGGCAGCTGTCAGACCTTTCCGGTTGGTCCGCTTGTGATTACAGACACGGAAAGGTCTCTGGGGTGGTGGACCTGAGTTCCAGACCCTACGGCCAACCTCAGAGCTCACGTTGGACACTGACCTGGTAGTTGGGAAGAAAGGTCAAGAAGGAGCAAGGAGGGGTTTGCTGAGTGTGGTGGGGGTGGCGTTGGGTAGCCAGAGAGTTGGGGTGGGAAGGATCTAGGTTTGCAGATTAGGGAAGCTGAGGGAGAGACCACGAGGGGGTGGTGGGGGCAGTGGTGGTTTTAGGAACTGGTCTAGACCACCGGGAAAGTATAGGGGTTTGGAGGAGAGGAAGGGGTTTAAGTGTCCAAGGGGCTGAATGGGGTTTTGTTGCCTCAACCACATCCCCAGAGTCAGAGGGTGGAGAGGAGGGTTAGAAATCACCTGAGCAGGCCGCTAGGGTTCAGGGCGGAGAGGTACTCCATGGTGGAGGGAAGGAGTAGGGGAGGTTGCCTCTCCTCAGTGAGTTCTGGGTTGGGGCTGAAGTGTTGGTGTTTTCTGTTACAAAGCTGGTATCCCAGCCCCAGTCAAGTAGGGAATGAGTCAATCCTGGACTCTGGCCCCTCTGCCTGGCCTGTAAGAAGGACAAAGTCCAAGGGGAGGAAGAAGAGGAGGGGCCTAGATGGGGTCGTGGATAAAGGATTGAGGACTAGCATTGCCCAGAAAAAGCCACAGAAGCTTGTGTGTGTGTCTAGTGTGGGCATGTATTTTGAGAGTAAACGGAACTATATAAGAGAATGGCATATAACCTCTGGTGTTTTTTATTTCTTTGGAAGGACATGTCTAGGGACAGTTTCTGGCTCCTATCTGAGAAGCTGAATTCTATGAGAGCAGCGCCGTATGTGCTGCCACCTACTGGAAAAACCATAAGCTGCCGCTTTAGGGAAAGGGAGGCAGGGGCTTGGAGAAAATGAGAGTGTGCTTTGGTGGGGTGTGAGGAGAGGATGGCTTTGCTTCTGTCCACTGAAATCAGGGTGTTTTTTTGAAGCCTATTGTTAGGAGCTGTTGAGTCGGTTCCGACTCATAGCGATCCTATAGGTCAGAGTAGAACTGCCCCATGGTTTTCCAAGGAGCGGCTGGAGGATTTGAACTGCCAACCTGTTGGTTAGCAGCCAAGCTCTTAACCACTACCCCACCAGGGCTCCTTTTTGAAGCCTAATCACCAGGATTCTATCTGGGATCCTGACCTTCCTGCTTTCCTCTTCCTTCCTCCTTGGTCCCGGGGAGGGGCTGGCTCAACATTTCTCTCACGTCATTCACCATAACTGCCTGCTTCAGCCACACTGGATTCGTCATTTTCTCTCTCACCTTTCTCCTTTTGCCACTTACTTAATGCACATGAAGGAGATGTGGATTTTCTGGGGCGGGAGGGGCTCCTTTGACGGCATCAGGACTTCAGCTTTTGGTGTTTTGTGTCACATCTCTGATTTCAGCTTTAGCTGTGATGAACAGTTGTGTGGAAGCTCAAACTCTCACACAGTGAACCCCTCAAATGAGCACAAGTCTTTCTGTTTTCCTGCCTGGAAGCCTTATCTGAAGCTGAAGCAGCTCATTCTGCCCCTGACCAGTACAAGCTGGAAGTGTGTATGGGGCTTAATGTGACTGGGGCAACCCTCAAACAATGGGAGCTGGGGGTAAATGCCTCAGTTTTCTGCCTTTCTGGAAGGTGTTCTCTGTGCTTCTTGGAGGTTTCCAATTGCTCTTCCTTATCTTATCCTGCTCGCTGAGCTGAACTCTCAAATACATAATTACTTGTACCCAAGCCCTTAACTCAGACTCTGCTTGGACAACGCTCCTGGTGTCCTGGCTTCCAAGGAACCCCAGTACTGGCTGTTGGCTGGGCAGAGGCCTTTCTTACCCCTTGCCTTAACTCTACCCATCTCTCAGGTCCCTCTGAAATCTCTTCATTTCCAAGCTTTGCCTGACCTCTCCACCAGCGAGGGCTTCTTACCACTGCATTCTTTCCTTTATTCCTGCCTGGTGCCCTGGTGCAGCTGGGCAGTGTGGTCTCCTTGCAGTTGTGCTATGACTCCCCAACCAAGTTATAAGCTCCTTACACTTCTATGCATCTTCCTCGCCCCCAGAAGGTGGAGACTAGGGGGATTGGGGCCAGAGCTGGGGAAGGGATGAGAGCAGAAGAAAGACCTAGGATCAGGATTCAGCAGGATGCTCCTACCCACCTCCATGAGCCGGGAGCCATATCTGTACTCCTTCAGCTGATCCTGTTTCCTGGGGGAGGCGGGCTCTCACACGCCTGGACCTGTTAGTGATGGGAAGGAGTGGAATGAGGGAGGGGCCCCAGAAAAGGCCCAGGATGATCTTGACCTAGTCCCTCCTCATTCTCGCCCCATTCTGCAAATGTGACAGGCACAGGACAGGAGTAGGCGCCTTGCCCTCTGCTGCTTCACCTTTCAGCTTTGCCAGGCCCCTTGTGGGCTCCCAACTTTGCTTGCTCCCAGCTGGGTAAGTGGATCTGCCCATGTGACTTTACTACCCCCTGGACAAAGGAGGGGCCAGGCTAGAGGGGTGGAGGTGGTGATCGCCTGGGAGTCAGGACTGGGGGTCTGGATACCACTGGGCTCTGGGAAGAAACCAGGAGTTGGGGAGGTCGTTGTCTGGGAGAAGGAGACCTGGGTTCCAAAAGGAATAGGGCTTGAGTGCGCTTGGGGTCCTCAAGGGAGTCAAAGGTCCCAAACAGAAGAGAAGGAGGCTTCAGGGGGCTGTGGGGAGACAAAGTTCCGTCTCCCCTGACATTAGGGGTAACAGGCTTTTGCCCCCCCATGAATGCCTTCTATGGCACCTTCCAGCCCCCCACAGCGCACAAGAATGCCCTGCTACAGTTTTCCGGGGAACCAGACGCTGCTGAGCTCAAAGGCCTCGAGAGCCACAGGCACCGCCTTTCTGCTGCTGGCGGCACTGCTGGGGCTGCCGGGCAACGGTTTCGTAGTGTGGAGCTTGGCGGGCTGGCGGCCCGCAGGGGGGCGACCACTGGCGGCCACACTCGTGCTGCACCTGGCGCTGGCTGACGGCGCGGCGCTGCTGCTCACGCCGTTCTTCGTAGCCTTCCTGATGGGGCAGGTTTGGCCGCTGGGCCTGGCGGGCTGCAAGGCCGTGTACTACGTGTGCTCGATCAGCATGTACGCCAGCGTCCTGCTCACCAGCCTGCTCAGTCTGCAGCGCTGCCTCGCGGTCACTCGCCCCTTCCTGGCGCCCCGGCTGCGCAGCCGGGCCCTGGCTCGTCGTCTGCTGCTTGCCGTCTGGGTGGCCGCTCTGCTGCTCTCCATCCCAGCAGCCGCCTACCGCCATCTCTGGCCTGATGACGTGTGCCAGCTGTGCCACCCGACGTCGAATCACACCGCGGTCCATCTTGGCCTGGAGACCCTGACCGCCTTCGTGCTTCCCTTCGGGCTGGTGCTCGGCTGCTATGGCCTGACGCTGGCGCGGCTGCGGGGTGCCCGCTGGGGCGCCAGGCGGCACCGGACACGGGTGGGCCGGCTAGTGAGCGCCATCGTGCTCGCCTTCGGCTTACTCTGGGCCCCCTACCACGTGGTCAACCTTCTGCAGGCAGTCGCTGCGCTGGCTCCGCCCGAAGGAAGCTTGGCGAGGCTCGGCGGGGCAGGCCAGGCTGTGCGGGCTGGAGCTACAGCCTTGGCCTTCTTCAGCTCCAGCGTCAACCCCGTGCTCTACGTGTTCACCGCCGGGGACCTGTTGCCCCGGGCAGGTCCCCGTTTCCTTACGCGGCTTTTTGAGGGCTCTGGAGAGGCCTTAGGGGGTAGCCGCTCAAGGGAGGGGACCATGGAGCTCCGAGCTACCCCTCGGCTAAAAGTGGTGGGTCAGGGCCGGAGCAATGGAGACCCTGGGAGCAGGGTGGAGAGGGACACTCAGGGATGGGACCTTTGACACCAAACCCTACACCTGGGCTTGCCCTTCCACGGCCCCTTCCATTGCCCTTTAGAACTCAGGAAACCGCTCAGACATTTACGGGGATCCTTCTCTGACCACAGTCTAGCTGGGCGGAATTTATTTATACACCTGGGGCAGGCACAAGTTTCTCCAAACTGAGGGGTTGTGAGGGTGGTGATGGTCCGTGTTAATGAGTATTGTGTGCTTGCAGGTTGGCATGTGCCCATGTGCCAGCACTGCTTGCTTGTTGCCAATAACTATGTGAAATACATTGGGCATCCGCTAGATGATGGTTTAAGAGTGCTCCTCCTGGTGGTTCATCATGTCTGACTTGTACTGAAGCCACCTGGTTCTTTGGTTGAGTCAGGCCAGGGCTGGGCACTGCCAGCCTTCAGTGGCATCTTGACCTGCCCTCCCCAGCCCAGGTGGCCTGGTTCCCTGGCACTTATGAGTTTGGGGCTGTAGGGAAGGGCTCTTTTCAGGGGACGTCCATGTGCACACACATGTGGTCACTAGGGTGACCAACTTGTCCAAGTTTGCCTAGGACTTGCCCAGTTTTAGCATTGAAAACCCTGCATCTGAGTAACTCCCCAATCTCTGGAAAACTGAGATGGTTGGTCACATTGGTGGTCATCCTGTTTCTGCTTTACTGACGGTTCACACCCCCAAGGCAGAGGTCAAGAGAGAGCAAAGGAAATCTAGGCCCCAGGGTCACGCCGGGGCTACTGTGCAGCACAAAACTGAGGTTGGGGTGGAGCTCTGAGCATGGGGGCATGGAGTGTGCTTAAAGTGTCTAGTCCTAGGCGGGGGAAGAAAGGCCAGCCAGGGAGATGGGGCTGGGTAGTGGCTCAGGAGGGGAGGCAAAGACAACCTAGTTTCTATCTGAAGAGGCCTCTGGTTGACCCTGGAGGTCTGAACCAAAAGCTTCTATCCCCAAACATAGACTGCAGGGGCTTCCTCCTGTCCTCACACGCTGGGGCAGAGGTTCCCTAATTTCCTCTATCACGTATCCTGTCTCACACACCCTGTGTGGTCAGAAAGCCCTTCCTCAACTCTGACCTCAGTTCTTGCTGCGGTTTCAGCCCATTTCTTTTCATCATATCCTCTGCCTGACAACTACTGGGTCAACTTTGCTCTGGCTTTTCTCAAAGCTGAGTGAGTGGAAGCCCAGGAAAGGATAGGGGACCTTAGCGACTACCATTACATCCTGCATCTTTCCTCAGAAGTGACATGGAGGAAATGTGTTAGAAGTGAAGCAGGGAGGCTCACAGTCAGATTGGAGGAAGGACTTTCCAATTCTTAACTTCTCTGGGAGTGCACCCTCCTAGAAAGGGGAAGGTGACCCTTTGGGAGCGACTTGCCTTTCCACATTCCTGGTTTCCTCTCTTGGCAGGGCAGGCATGGACATCACTGCCCCTGCTCCTTCATTCCTGCTCCCACCCCCACCCCCCCTTGCTCAGCCCAGCCTCACTCATCCTCTACTTTCTCGGTGTGACTAAGGTGGAAGTGGACAGTAGGCTGTGGGAAGGTGGAAAGAGGTGGTACCATACCTCCTTGCCTAATGCCCAGATCTGAAATCCTACCTTGGCAGAGTAACCACACAGACAAGCACAAGACAAGTGCTTGGGCAAGGGGAAGAAACGGCATTCTGTCCAATGGAGACCTTTGAGCTCTGGTTTCTACTAAAGAAAACGAAGAATTGGTTGACCTAGAATGTGTAACTAATCCCCTGAAGTGAGGGGAGGGATGGGGGTTGCTTGAAGAGGGCTCTGGGCTTCCTCCCCTCTCTTGGCTTGAACCGATGCCAAGGACAGGGTGCTGCCCCCTTCAGCATTTACCGGCATGCTTCTTTAGGTCATGTTACCTAACCCAAACCCAATGCCTAATCACGTCTCCAACCTACACTTCCTATTAATCTAAAAATCTACATTGTTCACAAAAAAATAAAGCAACACAGAATTCTTGCCTCTCAATCTGAGCCTGTTCCCCTTCTCTTGCTTCCTTCCCTCCTCCTATATGACACAGTTTATTACTCTGTCCAATTCTCCAGTCTAGACCTGCATCTTGGGGCCACACCCCGGCCTACTCACTCCCCGCACTCCCTTTCCTCTGACTGTCCCTTCCTTGGCTCTTTTCATCTGGCTCCGCCCCTGAGGATTCTTCCTCTCCACTGGGCTCTCCTGGACCATACAGACTTTGTTTTTTTTTTCTACTAGTGAAGGGAGGGGTGGGGGTTTCAGCCCCACCTTCAGCAAGATGCATCTTCCCCCCACCTCCTGCTCCGTGGTACTTCCTCTCTGGCTGACTTAGCTAACAGCACCCAGACCTGGGGCTAGGCCCCTGGCACTGGGACAGATCTGGGGATAGGCCACACCACCCTGCCCTGACCCTGGGATTGGCACCAGCTTCCAACCAGTACTTGGCAAAGCCTGTAAGTATCCTGAGAATGGTGGTGGTGGTGATGGGGTACCGCTGTGAGAGAAGGTGCAAGGAGAGCCTGCCCAGTGATAAAAGGATTTGGGAGGATTCATTCTCACTGCTTGTCCACTAACTCTTCCCCGTCTCTGGTGGACATGGGGCATCTTGGGAGAGTGGGTAGGTGACTGGAGGAAGTCAATGGGACTGAGGGGGCTAAGGGCCTGGCAGGGGACAGAACAGCTAGCCTTTTGAGGGATGCAGCAATGGTGAGAAAAGCCCCCAGCTTGCTTCTGGGTTTCAGGGCTCCTAACGGAAGGAGGCTGAAAGGGTCTGGAAATGCTGTTGCTGCTGCTGTGGCTGTATATTTTGCAAGTGGGTCTGTGGGCAGGAAGGGGCCCCATGGCCTGGTTAGGAAACCAATCTTTCTCTCTCCCAAGCCAGATCCCCAAGGTCAATGGTCAGTGAAGGGGACAGTGTATTGCTGAGGTGCCTCTGAGGTTGCTGACCTTGGAGACAGACCAGGGTACTCAGACTAAGTGAGTACACAGTGTCAAGAAACCCTTGGTCCCCTACCCTCATGGGCGTGTCCACCTTGGCTCTCTAGGTCCTTGCAATGGCCATGAACACTACCTCTCCTGCAGCAGCAATCTCACCGAGTGTCTTCATCCGTCCGCTGGCCATCATTTTACTGTCAGTGGCACTGGCTGTGGGGCTTCCTGGCAACGGATTCGTAGTGTGGAGCATCCTGGCAAAAATGCGGAAGCGCTCTGTCACTGCCCTGCTGGTGCTGAACTTAGCCTTGGCGGACTTGGCCGTATTGCTCACTGCCCCCTTTTTCCTCTCCTTCCTGGCCCGAGGCACCTGGGTCTTTCAACTGATTGGCTGCCGCCTCTGCTTCTATATCTGTGGGGTCAGTATGTATGCTAGCATCCTGCTTATCACGGCCATGAGTCTGGACCGCTCGCTGGCAGTGGCCTGCCCCTTCTTGTCCCAGAAGCTGCGCACCAAGGCGATGGCTGGTCGGGTGCTGGCAGGCATCTGGGTGGCGTCCGTGCTGCTGGCCACGCCCGTCTTAGTGTACCGCACCGTGGCCTTGGAAAAGAACAACAGGAGCCTGGTCTGCTTAGAGAAGTACCCCACGGAAAGCCACAGGGCCTTCCATCTGCTTTTTGAGACCATCACGGGCTTCCTGCTGCCCTTCCTGGCCGTGGTGGCCAGCTACTCCGACCTTGGGCGCAGGCTGCAGGCCCGGCACTTCCGCCGCAGCCGCCGCACCAGCCGCCTGGTGGTGGTCATCATCCTGGCCTTCGCAGCCTTTTGGTTGCCCTACCACGTGGTGAACGTGGCCGAGGCGGGCCGCGCGCTGGCCGGCCTGGTCCCCGGGTCCGGGCCTGCGGGGATGCGGCTGATCCTGGTCCGCAAGGTGCTCATCGCGCTCGCCTTCTTGAGCAGCAGCGTGAACCCCGTGCTATATGCTTGCGCCGGCGGCAGCCTGCTGCGCTCGGCCGGCGTGGGCTTCGTGGCCAAGCTGCTGGAGGGCACGGGCTCTGAGGTGTCCAGTGCTCGCCGCGGGGGCACCCTGGGCCAGACCATGAGGGGCGCCCCCACCTTTCCCAAGCCTGGCCCCGCTGAGAACCTCACTGCCTCCTGCAACCCTCTTGACTAAAGGGAACTGAACTAGGCCTGGTGGGTGGTGGTGGAAGGATGCTCACTTTCCTCCAGGTGGAGTGCCCTCACGCTGGCCCGACCCAATTCTGTACCCAAAGGAGGAGAATGAGCGTGAGGGCTGGAGCCGAAGAAGAGAGACGGAGGGGCAAGTGGCGGCTGACTGAGAAAGCCTGCTAGGGCCTGGCTCCCACTGGCAGGGCAGCTTTACAACTAAAACTGAAGTCTGAAATTGGGTCAACCCTGTGAGTGGGGCTTGTGCGTGATGGGGGACTGAGAATGCTCATGAGTGGCCCTTATGAGATCCCTCCCAAAAGTTCAGTGTCACATCTTTTACTTCCCCATTATTTTCAACTCAGGAAGGACCAAAAAAACAAACAAACAGAAAAAATAAACCACAACCAAAAAACCAACTGTTGAGGTGGAGTCCATTTCGACTCCTGGCAACCCCATGTGTTAAACAGAGTAGAACTCCTCCATAGGCTTTTCTTGGCTGAAATCTTTAGGCAAGCAGATCGCCAGACCTTTCTTCTGTGGTGTCACTGGGTGGGTTTCAACCACCAACTTTTAGGTTTGTAGTCACCACTGGCACCTAAAGACAGACATGGAAATCATCCCCTCCCCCCTCAGGTGATTCTGAGGCAGTTAGTTTGCAGATCACACTTCGAAAAACGCAGGTCTGCAGACTACTAAGACTCCTACAAGATGCTGATCAAGGAAGACAACTCATGTGGATTCATCACTCCAGACTCTCTGACTCAGGAGACCTTCTGAGAAAACTTAGCACTACTATGACACCATCTACCCTGAAGCCTGTGACAGCTATTGTTAGTGTGACTCTCCAACTTACTGCAATAATCTTTATCCTCTTAGCAGGAGATGGTCTAGGGAATCCTCATCCTTCCCTCCATCTCCCAAGAAGATCTCATTGAGAGCCAAGTCATCAGATCTTATCCCCTAGAATTTGCCCATCAGCATTCTGCCGGCCCCCAAAACATGCCCTGGCACAGGGTGGGGCTGAGGGCTTTCTGTGGCCATGATCATCTCAAGGAAATAAAGATCCCCAAAAGTGAGAGGGATGAGTCATTATTTCCTAGGGGTGACTGTTGTCTTAGAGAGCTTCGCCGAGCTCTGTTCTAACATTTTGGGAAGATAGCAGCATCAGTGGCATCTGTACTTTTGGAATCTCTCCAAAAGAGCAACTAGGGAAGCAAACCCAAAAATCCACGTGCAACATCTACATCATGTGCAACATCTACATTGGCTATCTGTTGTAGATAGCCAATGAACCCCAAAATATGAGAAGATGGAAATAAGCCATTGATGTTCCAAGACCCACTTGGAACATCAGCATCTGTGCAAAAGGATGCAGGTGGAAGCAGGGGGTAGGGGGTATCTGACGGACCTGAGAACAGAGGAATCCCCTAGTTGTCTATAGGTACTCATTAGAAAGCATGGTGGGTCCATTTGAGAAGACAAGCTGAAACTGGGAGGGACCTAGTGGATTACTTCCCAGGACTCTAGCTCATTTGCATGGTAAGCCCGTAATAAATGCTTAATTAAGGTTTGTTGAATGAAGGATGGTCAAATGACATTTCCCTAAAGATTCCTCCCAATATCTGTGAAAGAACAAATCAAGGTGTACAAAATACTGGAATCAGGTTGTCAGGCAGGCAGGCTGAGGCAGTCCTCTTCCTGAGCTTGCAAACAGAATCACCCCCTTCCAACACACTCAGGCTCACCCATGCTCATGCTTGCACACTCACACACAGAAACACTCAGTTTGGCCTGGAAGAAGCTGTCCTACGGAGGGACAAGAAGGTGATCCCCAGCTCTACCAGCAGCTTCTGGCATCAAATGGCTCCAGACACACTAAAGTCTCTTTACTGAGGATCTCAGGAGTGGAGAGGAGGGCAGCAGGGGGTCTCAGCCTAGGGTGGCTGAGGGGGGTCCAGTGCGCATCAAGTCTGTGTTCAGGAAGTAGGTGCAGAGCTGCCCTTTGCCTTTGACTTTGATGACACCCCGCCTGTAGCAGGTATAGCCCAGGGACTTCAGGGCCTGGGCTGTCTCCTCAGTCACCTGCAGTTGAAGAGGGTGGGGAGGAACTGTGGGGTGGCCCAATCCTTATCCCTCCCACCCCTCCCATGCCTCCAGTGCAGCTCCCTCACTTGGATCTTGCCCAAGACCCCTGTACTCTCCATGCGGCTGGCCACGTTCACCGTGTTGCCCCAGATGTCATATTGTGGCTTTTGGGCTCCAATCACACCAGCCACTACGGGTCCGTGGTTCAACCCTGATAAAGGGAGTGGCAAAGAAAGGGTCTTGAGAGGGGGGAACTTTGAGGAAGGAGAGAGAAAGGGGAAGTTGAAGGAACTTCGGGAAGGGAGAGGCCGGGGAGGGTCTTAGAGGAGAGGAGAACTCTCTGGGGCTGGAGGAGTGTGGCTTAGGGAAGGGAGCCAATACCCAGCAGCTTCATGCCCCACACCATGGGGTAGATCCAGAGGCAGTCCAGGGATGAGCTGGGAGCAGTTAACAAAGGACTTGGTGGGGAAGAGCTTGAGAAGGTGAGGAGGTGCTAGACTGCCCCAGCAAGGGAGGGTCCTCACCGACACGCAGGCGGAAGTTGTTGAATGAATGCTTGTTGATGACATCCAGTTTAGACCCCAGAGCCACCGCAAATTCCACCATGGTGCCAAGGTGGCTGCAACTTCGTTCAGCATCCTGGCAATGGGCCACCCACCAGGATGGGCCAAAGAGGGAACAAGAATAAGTCCCACCTGGGCCCACCAATGAGAGCCCAGATGAAGGTTGGTAGGTAAGGAAAGGATGCTGTACCTGTTGTGCGTCCTGTCCAGAGGTGGCATTTAAACCTGTGGCTGCCATGTAGGTGCTGCTGATGGTTTTGATTTTTTCCACCCCACTGAACTTGGGCTTGGAGAGCAGCTATAGAGATAAGAGGCTGTATCCCCAGGGTCTCTAAGCTCTCCCGCTCCTTTCTCCCAGAAGCCCAGCCCCAGGTCTTTGAAGGCTAAAGAACCAGAGTGGGGAAGTAGTGGCAGGAGAGGGAGAGTTAGTAGTAGCTAGAGTTGCTGGAGGTGACAGAGTTAGGTGATCAGAGGAGAGGGGGTTTTGGGGAGCGGAAGATTGGTCTCATGGCTGCAAGGGAAAATGAGAGTCACCTCATCAAAATCAGCAATTATCTCATTGAGCAGTCGCAGACACTCCAGCCCCTCATGGTTAATGTTGGATTCAGAGTAAAACTCCTTGAAGTCTGGGACTGAGGCGAAGAGGACACAAACACACTCGTAGGACTGGTGGTAGAGATCCTGGAGGGGTTAGGAGGCTGGGTGAGCACCACCTTCTTCCCCCTTCTGGGTCTGCACAGGACCCTCCTCCCTGTGTCCACACTCCTAACTCCTCTGTCTGAGAAGGATTGGGAAGGAGGGACAGGGGCAGGTCCAGGTTAACCTGGGGGTGGAAACTTGGTAGTCAAAGATTGGGTCTCATTGTGATTCTAGGAGAGGCAGAAGTTTGGGGTCAGGATCACCTCACAGCTAACTGAAAGGAGTCACGTCTAGAACTGGAGTCTTGTCAATGGGAATTACAATCCTATCTTTTTCCTGAGAGGTATTGTCAGTTACTTCAGCATACAATGAGGAAAATAAAATAAAGCAATAAAAGGGAAAATGGGGCAAAGGGAAAATAAGGGTAAGATGGTAACGACAGAATCAGGTCTGAGGTTGATTCACAAAATGGGTTCCAGGAAGTCCTTGTTAGTCTTAAATTCTGGCTCTGAGCTTTCTAGCAGCCAATGTGAAGAGAGAAACAGAGTCAGTTACAAGATTCCCCGTGTCTGTAAGAGAAGAAACTAGGAGAAGTAAAGCTCCTTCTGATCTTAAGAGCAGATAGCTGGTGGTGGGAGCATAAGGCTGTGAAATAGCCCCTGAGCTGTTTCTTTTAACATCCCTCAACATAGGCCAGGAGCATTTCCATAGCAGAGAGGGCAAGGTGGTGGTGGTACAAATAACATGGAGCATATATGTGGGCAACTTTCTGATAGTCCAACTATAGAAAGATTTTTGAGGGTCTGAAGCAGAGAGCCCTGGTTGCTCAATGGTTAAAACGCTCAGCTGCATACCGAAAGGTCAGTGGTTCAAACCCACCAGCCGATCTGCAGGAGAATCTGCTTCTGCAAAGATTTACAGCCTTGGAAACCCTATGGGGCAGTTCTACTCTGTCCTATAGGATCGCTATGAATTGGAATCAACTCGACGGCAGTGGGTTTTTAGAGCAGTATCAAGGAACCCTGGTAGCGCAATGGTTAAGCACTTGGCTGCTAATCAAAAGATTGGCAGTTTGAACCCACAAGTGGCTCCGTGGAAGAAAATACTTGATGATCTCTCCAGTAAAGATTTCATCCTAGGAAACCCTATGGGGCAGTTCTACTCTGTCCTATAGTGTCACTGAGTCAGAAATGACTCACGTGACACAACAACAGAGCAGTATCATTCAGTAGAACTTTTTGCGTGGAGGAGGGGTTCTATATCTTCTGTTCTGTCCAATATGGTGGCCACTAGCCACATGTGGCTGTTGAGCACTTTAAATGTGGCTAGTGTCTTTAAATTTGCTTAAATTTAAAGACCACAAGTGGCTAGTGGCTACTATATTGGAAAGTGCAGGTCTAGAGAGATGGCTGGGCTGTATCCTCCAGAAAACCCCCATCAAGCTTCTGAAAGGTATAGAGTAGCCATGAGTTGGAAAAGACATTCCTTCCAAGTAAGAATTTGAAACACAGATTCTGTGCTCACTGAAGACAGAGCCTGAGATCTTGTGAAAACTGAGGCATCTGACAGGGACAAGTGCCTGAGTGGCCACTATGTGGGAGTCCAGAGATGATGGGCCAAGGGCCAAGACTTTCCTCCAAAATTAATCCCTATGATGATCTGGGGCTCAGGAGTCAGGGGTCAGGAGTCACCTCATTGCGTCTGTTTTGGCCAATGAACTGGGGGGCCACGTGTGCAGGGAGCACATTCTCCAAGAGCAGCCGAGTCAGGTTCTCCATCGTCTCTGTCTCTTCTCTCTCCTGCCTCAGCTTCTTCTTCCACAGGAAGTCCAGGCGGCAGTAATACTCATTCTGGGAGAGGGGTCACGAGGGCCATGGGGACGCACAGTGCAGGGGAAGCCCCAGCTCCTAAATGTTCCCGTCCCCACTCCATGATGCCCAAACCCTTCCCCGCCCCTCCCCAAGTAGAAATAAGGCTTAACCTGCAAGCATCCCTGGGACAGACTGTCCTTGAAACTAGATTCAAACTAGGGTATGCAGAATTGGAAGATTTTTTTCTTAAGTGTGGGTTTTACCAGACTGGAGGGGTAGGGAGAAATTGAGGACATTCCTCTTGGGTAGAGAGGGGGAAATAAAGGGGGCACTTAGATGCTTCCAGTGGGCCCACTGCTTGGACCAAACCCTAAAGATAAAAGACTAAGAGAAAGAGTGAGAGAGACCAAGCCACAAATACGGAGACCCCAGGACCACCATTCACAAGGAGACCTGCAGGGCTGAGCTGAGTGATTTACCTGCCGAGCCAGGACGAGGAGGGTGAAGAAGAAGATGAAGAAGGAGATGGTTCCCATCAGTTTGGGCTCCTTCAGCACCCCTGGTCTGAGGAGGCCACGGATCAAGGTTGTCTCTCGCCCTGTCCCCTTCCAGTCTTCCTCCTCCCTGCCCCCAGAGCCCATGCAGCCCTCAGCCTCCCTCCCCTTTGCCCTGTGGGTGGTTGAGGCCAGTGAGGTGGGGGCAGCTCTGCTCTATCCTGTCTCACCCCCATCCAGGAGGGCCTGGGCACCTCTGTCCAGTGGCCACGCGCACCTGGAGTCCAAGAGGCCCATATAGAGGCGGGCGATGAGGCAGTCAGACAGCCAGGCGTGGGAGTGCAGGAAGAGGGAGCAGGAGGCTGCCAGCCACAGCAGGAGCAGCAGCAGCTTCAATTCAAAGCTCATGTGCAGGAAGAGGGAGCAGGAGAGGAAACCCAGCACGCAGCAGTGCATGGAGTACTGTGGGGCCAGGCAGGGGGTCAAGAAGCGGGGCAGGAGTCATGGAACACCCCAAGCCTCCTGGCCCACCCCTCCCAGGGCCCAGGTCCATCTGAGGGTCAGGTATGTCAAACACACATCAGGTGTGACTTAAGTCTGTTTCAATGCACAGGAGGGAGTGCTCTTCTGCTAAGGAGGTAGGGGTGTGAGGAAGAGTCTGGAGACGGAGATCCAGGGTTGTAGGGGAGCACTCACCGGGACACTGATGAGAGGCAGGGACCCAGGGAGCTCCCAGGAGAGGTTGAAAGCCATGGAGGACACATTAGCGGTTCGGAAAGGGCAGTTGGATGATGCTGGTA